GTTGTTAGAATTTTTCAAAATGCTGACACGCCGAGTTCAAAAGGTTCGCCATCACTGCCCTAGGAGATGTATCTGTAAACATATTGCTATGAGAAATGTCTGAGATTTTGCTGCCTATGGTTTCTTCTAGGATTTTTATGATTTCACAACTTAAACATTTAAGTCTTTTATCCATTTTATTCTTGTGTATGGTGTAAGTTTGGTGGTTTAGTTTCTTTTTTTTTTTTTTTTTGCATGTATCTATCCAATTTTTCCAACACCACTATTGAAGAGACTATCTTCTTTCCACTGTATGTTCTTGCCTCCTTTGTCAAATATTTATTAAGTGTAATGGCTTGGGTCAATTTCTGGTGTCTCTGTTTTGTTCCATTGATCTAAATGCCTATTCTTGTGCCAGTACCAGGCTGTTTTGATTACAGTAGATTTGTAGTATAACTTGATAAATGAGCCCACCCACTTTGTTTTTCTCTCTCCAGATTGCTGCAGCTATTCAGGGTCTTTTTTCATTCCATATAAATTTTTGGAGTATTTGTTCTAGATCTGTGAAATATGCCATTGGTATTTTAGTAGGGATTGCATTAAATTTGTAGATTGCTTTGGGTAGCATGGACATTTTAACTATGTTAATTCTACTAATCTATGAACACAGTATATTCTTCCACTTTTTTTATATCTTCCTCTATGTCTTTTTCAACGTCTTATAGTTTTCCAAGTGCAAGACTTTTACCTCCTTGGTTAAGTTTATTCCTAAATATATTAACTTTTTTGTTGCAATGCTAAATGGGATTGCTTGTTTAGTTTCTCTTTCTGATAATTTACTATTGGTGTATAAAAATGCCATCTATTTCTGGGTATTAAGTTTGTAAACTGCCATATTGTCAAATTCATTTATTAAATTTAGTAGTAGTTTCCTGGTGGAGTCTTTACGGGTTTCTATGTACAATATCTTGTCATCTGCACATCATGAGAGTTTTACTACATCCTTTGCAATTTAGGGTGCCTTTTATTTCTTCTTGCTGTCTGACAACTATGGCTAGGACTTCCGGTACTATGTTGAACAAGAGTGGTGAAAGAGGGCAGCCCTGTCTTATTCCTTTTATTAGAGGAAATGGTTTTAATTTTTGCCCATTGAGTATGATGTTGGCCATCTGTTTGTCTTATATGGCCTTTATTATGTTGAGATATGTTCCCTCTATTCCCACTTTGCTGAGAGTTGTTATCAAAAATGGATGTCGGATTTTGTCAAAAGCTTTTTCTGCATAAATTGATATGATCATGTGATTTCTGTCTTGTAATCAGTTTATGCGATGTATAATATTTATTGATTTGTGAATATTGTACCAGTCTTGCATCCCTGGAATAAATTCTACTTGGTCATGGTGTATCATCTTTTTAATGTATTGCTGGATCTGATTTGCTAATATTTTGTTGAGGATTTTAGCATCTATGTCCATCAGGGATATTGGCCTATAGTTATCTTTCTTTGTAGTGTCTTTATCTGGTTTTGGTATTAGGATAATAATGGCCTCATAAAAAGAGCTTGGAAGTGTTCTTTCTCTTGAATTTTTTGGAATAGTTTAAGAAGGATAAATGCTAGTTGTTTTTTGAAGGTTTGATAAAACTCCCCTATGAAGCTGTACAGACCAGGGCTTTTGTGTGCTGGGAGGTTTTTTATTATTATTATTATTGCTTCTATTTCATCCATTGTTATTGGCCTATTCATGTTTTCTGACTCTTCCTGTTTCAGTTTTGGAAGATTTTATTTTTTCAGGAATTTGTCAATTTCATCCATATTGTTCAGTTTGTTGGAAAATAGTTGTTCATAGTACTTTCTTACACTCCTTTGCATTTCTCTGGTGTCAGTTGTTACTTGATCACTTTTATTTCTTATTTTATTTATTTAGGTCATCTCTCTTTGTTTCTTTTTTTAATTGCTTAAAATATTACAAAGAGTAGTACATTTGTCTCCTTTCCCCACCCCCACTTGACCTTCTCCCAGCCTCCCCTACCCCCCAGTGTCTTGTGTCCATTGGCTATGCTTATACGCATGCATACAAGTCCATTCGTTGATCCCTAAGGAGTCTGGCTAACAGTTATCAATCTTGTTTAACTTTTCAAAGAACCATCTCTTGGTTTCATTGAACTTTTGTATTATTTTTCAGGGTCTATGTCATTTATTTCTACTCTAATCTTTATGATTTCCTTCCTTCTACTTACTCCGGGCTTTTCTTGTTGTTCTCTTTCCAGTTCTTTAAATTGTAGGGTTAAATAGTTTATCATTAATTTTTCTTGTTTTTTGAGGTAGGCATGTAGTACTATGAACTACCCTCTCAGGACTGCTTTTGCTGTGTCCCATAGATTTTTGGGGCAGTTGTGTGTTCAGTTTCATTTGTTTCCAGGAAGTTTTTATTTCTTTCTTGATCTCATTGGTAACCCATTCATTGTTTAATAACATGCTATTTAGCCTCCATGTGTTTGAATGTTTGGAGGTATTTTAACTGTAGTTTATTTCTAATTTCATTCCACTGTGATCTGAGAAGATGCCCAATGTGATTTTAATCTTCTTGAACTTGTAGAGACTTGTTTTGTGTTGTAACATGTAGTCTACCTTGGAGAATGACCTATCTATGTGTACTTGAGAAGAATGTATATTCTGCAGCTTTGTGGTGAAATTATTTATATATATATATATACACAATTAAACCCAACTGAACCAGTGTGTCCTTTAGAGTGACTGTTTCCTTGTTAATTTTTTGTCTGGAAGGTCTAACTAGTGAAGTCAGTGGGATATTAAAGTCTGCCTGTATGACTGTTTTGTTGTCGCTCTCTCTCTTAAAGTCCTCTAGAAGTTTTTATATATTTAGGTGCTCCTATATTGGGTGCATATATGTTTACCACAGTTATACCCTCTTGTTGAATTGATCCCTTTAGTATTATGTAATGACCTTTGTTGTCTCTTGTGATGTCCTTCATTTTGAAGTCTCTTTTGTCAGATATGAGTATTGCTACCCAGTTGTTGTTTTTTTTCATTTCTATTTGCATGGAAAACATTTTTCCATCCCTTCACTCTCATCCTGTGTGAGTCTTTTGTCCTGAGGTAGGTCTCTTGTAGATAGTATATAATTGAGTATGCTTTTGTATCCATTCAGCTACCCCATGTCTTTTGATTGGATCATTTAATCCATTCACATTTTAGGTTATTATTGATAGGTACTTATTTATTGCTCTTTTAATTCTGTATACCTAGGTTTCTCTCTCTATTTTGTCTTCTCGTTACAGAAGTCCCTTTCACATTTCTTGCAGTGCTGGTTTGATGGTGATGACCTCCTCTAGTTTTTTTGCTTGTTTGTTTGTGGGGGTTTTGTTTTTGTTTTTGCTTTTTTTTTTTTTTTTTGTCTAGGGAGCTCTTTATTTCACTGTCTATTTTGAATGATAGCCTTGCTGGATATAGTAATCTTGGTTTCATATCCTTGCTTTCCATTACCTTGAGTTTTTCATGCCATTCCCTACTGGCCTGTAGAGGTTCTGATGAAAACTCAGTTGTCAGACTTATGGGAGCTCCTTTGTAGGTAACAAAATGCTTTTCTCTTGCTGCCTTTAAGATTCTCTCTTTGTCTTTAATTTTTGGCATTTTAACTATGATATATCTGGGCCTGTGCCTGTTTTGGGTTCTTCTTGGTTGGCACTCTCTGTTCCTCCTGAGTTGTATGACTTTTCCCTTCACCAGGTTAGAGAAGTTTCCTGCCAATATTTATTCAAAAACATTTTCTATCCTTTGCTCCCTTTCTTCCCCTCTGACACACCTATTATATGAATATTGTTATGTTTCATGTTGTCCCATAGCTCCCTTAAGCTGTCCTTCTGTTTTTTTAATTGTTTTTTCTCGTTGGTTCTCTGATTGAGTGATTTTTTCTACCCCGTCTTCTAATTCATTGATCCAATCCTCAGCTTCTCCTAATCTGCTGTGTATTCCTTCCACTGAATTCTTTATTAGTGTTATGTCATTCTTCATAGTTACTATCTTTTCTCATGCTGTTGAGCATCTTTACCATCATTATTCTGAACTCTATGTCTAATAAATTTCTTATCGCCATTTCATTTATCTCTTCTTCTGGAAAATTCTCTTTTTTTTTTCATTTCGGGCTTGTTTTTTATCTCCCCATTCTGGCTGGCTGTTTGTATTTGTGTCTGTGTATTTGGTAAGTCTACTACAATTTCTAATCTCTAGTGCAGGACAATGTCAGACACTGTTTGTTACTGGCCCTGAGTAACATCAGCAATCCAAAGTTTTTGGATCCCTCTGCTGAGGTGAGGTGCCTTTGAAAAGGACCAAGATGTGTACCAGGGTCTGCTTTTTCTAGCTCCAGGCACAGAAACAGATCAGGAAAATTCTCAAAGCCTCCAGAGATCCTCCTCTGCCTTCAGTCTAATTGTTATCCAGCTTTGATTGGCTTCAGGAGGGCCACAGGAGGGCCAAGAAGTCTTCCAACAGGGTGGAGCAATTGCCTTTCCACCAGGCAATAACTACCTGGATAGCAAAGGTCCATGAGAGAAAGATATCCTCTGCAGCATGAGGGAATGACCAAAACAGGAAACCTGGTGGCTGTCCTCTGAGCTCCAACCCCAGAGCTTCCAACCCTAGACTGTCCTCACACAACTCCAGACCATTCTGCTCTCCCTCTTCAGACCCCAAGGTGAGTGGCTGCACAAGAAATTGTGTGTGTGTTGGACCTTTAAGAGAGTGCCTGCATTTCCAGCCCTCTCTCACTGGAATACAGCAACCCTGCTACTTTTTACAGCTAGATGTTTTGTGGGAACCTTTCTCAGTTTTTGTGCTCTGGGCTGGGGAGCCCAACTTGTGGTTTAGACCCAGAGTTCTCAGTGAGAACCCCCCACAGCTGAGATATCCTTCCAGAACTTCAGCTGCTGTCTGTGGGAGTCTGGCCAGCCCTTTCACATCTCCACCCTTCCTACCAGTCTCTATGAGGTCTAACTTTCTATCCTTCATTATCAGGGCTCTCTCCAGCTAGTCTTCAGTTGATTTCAAGGGTTGTTCTTCTGTATTTTAGTTGTATTTCCAGTTTGGTCTTGGGAGAGTGTCAGTGTAGCTTCCACTTACTTTGCCACCATTTTGGAATGTTTTTAGCTTTTCTTAAAAAAGTATTCCTTGCCCGAGCTGGTGTGGTACAGTGGATAGAGCATCAGCCTGCAGACTGAAGAGTCCTGGGTTTGATTCCAGTGAAGGGCACATGCCCGGGTTGTGGGCTCAGTCCCCAGTGTAAGGCGTGGGAGGGAAGCCAATTGATGAGTCTCTCTCATCATTGATGTTTCTCTCTCTCTCTCTCTCTCTCTCTCTCTCTCTCTCTCTCCCTTCCTCTCTGAAATCAATACAAAGATATTAAAAATAAATAAAAATTTTTTAAAAAAAGTATTCCTTGCTGGGAGCCAGGATTCAGTAGGTCTGGGAGGAGCCTGGAAATTTGGAATGTCCAACATTGAATTTTTCCTGAGAGCAAGGCCTGGACTTGGAAAATGAAGGTGCTCACAAAATGTTGTGTAAACATCCATCCATGTGAGCTGTGGACAGAGGAGGAAAGTAATAGATGAGCAGCAACAATAGAGAAAACAAATGTAAACAAGCCACAACAGATTAGCAGTAGCTACCATGTGTTGGTCCCGTGCCGGGCACTTTATATGTGCTATTTTATACACTTCTCTAAAGAGCCCAGTGAGGTATGGGTCACAACTATATCTCTCAGATAAAGGTCTGTGTTCTGCAATGACAGCTCAGTTGGGATCCTTCCCCCCTCAGCCAATTTTAGATCATTTCCAATTTTGATGCCAGGGAGAGGAGGGCACACCAGGTGCCCGAGACTGGATGCTACTGAGGGATTGGAAAGGACCCTAAGTACCTCGAGAAAAGTGGAGTCCCAAGAAGGAAGGACACTGCGCCCCAAAATAAGCCTAAGGAAACCGACAGATCAGGAACACCCACAGTGGACTGTGGGTGAGCAAAAAACACATTTTATCCATTCATTCATTTATTCAACAATCACTTGGATTAATTTGCTATGTGTTCGCACTGTTCTAAGGCCTTTTAAATATAACTCATTTAATACACAAAGCAACAGTATGAGGCACATGCTAATATCCCCATTTTATAGATGAGGAAAACTAATACACAAAGAAGTTAAATAACTTCTTAAGAGCACAACTATTGTTTTAAGCCACTGATTGGAAGTTTTGTTATAACAATGAGGTTGCCCTAACTAATACAGTGTCACTATGTTGATATTTTCTGTTCAGACTTACAGGACTAATTTTGTCAAAAAGTTTACAAAGCCCAGAATAGTGACTTCAAAGACATTAGAAGTGAGTTTCAAAGAACATATTACCTTTTGGTGTGGCTTAGTTCAAAACATTTATGGCAAGGGTGAGCTTATCTGAATGGTAGAGAAGGGAATGATACATTGACTACTGTGATCTTTTTGAAAGGATCTATGCAATTTAATCTACATAATCTCTTGTGAAATAAAATGATTAAGTTTATCACTCAGATCCTGTGTATTCTCATTGGTAAAGCGAAGGGTAGGGACTAACGAGCTTGGAAGTACCTTCCAGCATCAACATTAAGCATCAACCTTCAATTTCCCATGTCAAGGCCATCTCAAGATGGAAAATTTAACTTAAACTAAGAATAATTGATTTCATAAACAGTTGACACACTCAAGACTGAATGTGAGTCTTTGACCTCAGTCTTCACTCTGGGCCGAGAGCAGTAGGCATGAAAAGTCTATGTAAGAATGGGAGCATATGTATAGTCACCAGGTACTATAAAAGGATTGTAGTAACTACACTTAATTTTGCTACAATTTAAAAAATTATATACACTCTATGATCCTATCTATATATATAAAACCCTAAGCAACTGGTCAACAGTTCGACCAGTTGACCGTTTGACCAGTCGCTATGACATGCACTGACCACCAGGGGGCAGACACTCAACGCAGGAGCTGCCCCCTGGTGGTCAGTGTGCTCCCACAGTGGGAGCACCACTCAGCTGATGGGCACCAGCACCAGGATCATGGCTGTCAAGTGCAGATGCAGTGGTGTGAGCCTCTCCCACCTCTGCGACAGCGCTACTGGGC